CCTCCCGGGTTCAAGTGATTCTCCTGCCTCAGACTAGCTGGGATTACAGGTGTGCACCCACCATGCCCTAGTTTTTGTATTTTTAGTAGAGAAAAGGGTTTCACCATATTGGCCAGGCTGGTCTCAAACTCCTGACCTCAGATGGTCTCATGCCTCAGCTTCCCAAAGTGCTACAGAATTACAGGCGTGAGCCACTGTGCCTGGCCAAGGATTGTAAGCATAAAATAAGTAAATACAAAGGAAATGTTTCCCCCAAAGTGCCAGCACACAATAGCAGCCCTCAGTAAATGAGAGGCAGCCTAGAGCAAAAGTAAGAGTCCAGGTTCCAGAGTCCTGTGGCCTTGAGCAAGTCGCATCATCTCTCCTATAAAATAAGGACAATAATAGTACCTACCTCCTAGGGCTGTTGGGAGGATTCAATGAGTTAATATTTGAAACCGCCTAGACTACTCAACACATGGTTGGTGCTATGTAAGCTTTCACTAAATAAATTACCCTGTCAGTGCATATATATTCCACACCAAGCTCTATTCTTTTTTTTTTTTGAGACGGAGTCTTGCTCTGTCGCCCAGGCTGGTGTGCAGAGGCCCGATCTCGGCTCACTGCAAGCTCCGCCCTCCTGGTTTCACGCCATTCTCCTGCCTCAGCCTCCAGAGTAGCTGGGACTACAGGCGCGTGACAACACGCCCAGCTAATTTTTTTTGTATTTTTAGTAGAGACAGGGTTTCACCGTGTTAGCCAGGATGGTCTCCATCTCCTGACCTTGTGATCCGCCCGCCTCGGCGCCCTCGCAAAAGTGCTGGCATTTCAGGCGTAAGCCACCGCGCTCAGCCCAATCTCTATTCTTTAGCTCTCTTACCCTGTCTTTCTCCTCACCTCACTGCACTGTTTCACTGATCAATATTAACAGCCTGGTTCTACTGCCCCCCAGATCTTATCTAGTAAGCTGCCTCAGAGGGGCCAGTCCAACAGAGGTTTCCATGGATTCCTGCCTGAAGATATCAAAAAGGAGGCAGCTCGGGCTTCTAGGAAGGTTAGAATCCCCTGAAGTGAGGACCTTGGGGTAGGCCTCTTTTCATACCTCACCCATCATTCCTGTTTCTATTCTCTTCCCTACTTCCTAGTTTAGACATCAAAGGACTCTTGGATTTTCCAACTAGTCCTTAAGTCCCATATTCCTCTGGGGTATGGTGTCCTAAGTGAGAAGAGGGAGAAACATCTTGAGAAAACAGGAAAGAACTCAGTGCTGCTTGAAGCTCAGCTTCCAGGTGCCCCAGAGCATTCAGGACCACCGAGGAAAGGGAATGGCTATTATTTCACAAAACTTCCATTTAATAGAAAAATGTCCCACACTGTGTCTATTTGCCTTTCTTGGGGTCCTGAGCACTGTCTGGGAACTCATTTGCAGATCTGCTTTGTGTGCAAGAAAAAGGGAGCTGCTATCAACTGCCAGAAGGATCAGTGTATCAGAAACTTCCATCTGCCTTGTGGCCAAGAAAAGGGTTGCCTTTCACAATTTTTTGGAGAGTACAAGTGAGTGAGGAAGGGGAAAAGTCCGGCTTCCTTTTTGCAACTTGTTTTTCAGCCACTAATGAAATCAGAGTCCAGTTCTCACAAGCAGGCCTGTTTTGATTCACCAGTGAATCTGTCCCTCCATTCAGTAATAAGAAACAGTGTCTTGACTTGGAGATTTCACAGGGGTTTCTTCTTGCTTCCTGCCCCCTCCTTAAATTACAAACAGCTGGGGTACTTAGACAGCTGCTCAGCACTAAGTGGGGCTTTCAGGAACAAGAGGCTATGGAGACAGTTCTGGGAACTTTGCTCAGTAGGCGAGCAGCCATGAGAAGGCATGTGGCTGTTCTTCACCCTGCCTCTCCTCTTCCCCATGAGTGTGGAGGTTCACTGGGCACCAACCCGGGTGGCTGGCTGCCCCTCCTAGAGTGGGCCATTGGGAAACTGCATCGATGACAAACCAGAAACCAAGTCTGTTTACCTGCCACAGATCATTTTGTGATAAACATCGCCCAGCACAGAACATCCAACATGGGAATATGGGGGAGGAAAGTTGCATCTTGTGTTGTGAAGACTTATCCCAACAGAGTGTTGAGAACATCCAGAGCCCATGTTGTAGTCAAGCCATCTACCACCGCAAGTGCATACAGGTGGGGCTTTTTCTGCCCTGGGGCCTTCCACCATTGCCCTGGTTCTCTGCCTGGAACCAGAGCACCCTGGGCGTGCCTCAGGCGTGCCTCAGCTTTGGTGCTCCATGCTGGAGGCCTGTATTCAGGGCTGGTTTCAGGCACTTAGAAGAAAGTCAGTCCAGTCTGTGGTCATTCCTGACCTATAGGACCTCACACATAAGATTTAGAATAAGCAAAATCTTTGGCATTGCTAGAGCAAATGGGCTCATCCCAGAATGAGCTGAGGAGCCTCCCTGTCAGCCTCACTTCCTGGGATGAAAGAAAAGGCAAATGTGTATCCAGGTACCTGACCCCTACTTAGTACTGCCGAGCCCCATGGCCAGAGATGACGGCTGAGGCACTCCTGGGAATTCTCTTGAAAGTATTTTGGTCCCAGGTCTGACACCTGGATTTGCAGTCCTCACCCTAGCCCACCCAAACTCCTTTTCCTGTACCGTCAGTCAAACTCTTAGCAACATCCTCTTTGTGGGGGTGAGGGTGGGAGGGGAAAGAAGGTAGTCAAAGGGTTTTTATAAACACAAAGCTCTTACCTGTTTCTCTTACAGAAATATGCCCACACATCAGCAAAGCATTTCTTCAAATGTCCACAGTGTAACAATCGAAAAGAATTTCCTCAAGAAATGCTGAGAATGGGAATTCATATTCCAGACAGGTAGTGGGAACCCCAGAGCAGGAACTGAGCCAGGGAGAGGGTTGCCTAGATTTCTAGAGAGGAGGTGAGTGAGAGAATAGTTCAGAGAATGAGAGCAGCAGAGGCACTGATAGTGAAGAAGGAAGGGGAGGAGGGAGTGCTTTTCAATTATCAAAACAAGGGAGGGGAAAGAAGTTTGTGGGGGAAGCGGGTGCTTGTTGCTAAAAAGGGCATTTGGGGAATCAGAATTCCCTGGGTGGTTGAGTTCTTGGATTCCACAGTGGAACTAAGGAACCCGCATGCATGTTCCATTCATCCTGCTTCAACCCTCTCCCACTACCAGGCCACTTGACCAGCCTTGTTGGAAGTGTTCGGGCAGCCTACTGAACTCTTACTCTGCTTAGCTTGGGGTTCTTCCTAATTCCTCCCTGATGGACAAAAGTTTCACCAACCCGTTATGTTCTTATTCACTGTTTTTTCTCCCACTGCAGAGATGCTGCCTGGGAACTCGAGCCAGGGGCTTTCTCAGACTTATATCAGCGCTATCAGCACTGTGATGCCCCCATCTGTCTGTATGAACAAGGCAGAGACAGCTTTGAGGATGAAGGGTAGGAGAAGGATTCTGGCTAGAAAGAGCTCTCATCAGTGCTATCTTAGAGTTAGACCTTGGCACAGTTACTAGAAGTAAGAAATTCACTCTTGTATGCAGACCTTAGGATAAACACAATTGCTCAGTCTCATTCTTGACCAGCCCCTGACTCACTTGTGTGCAAGTGAACAGGTCTCCCCTGCAAGATCCACTCACCTTGTGCCCAGTGGAGAGACATTCAGAGCCAATTCCTTTTTCCTAATCTACCTTTCAAGGGGTTATGACTGATGGCAGGCTCCCGGGATCAGCACTCATCCCCTCTGAGCCATACATTCATGGTGGGTAAAATGTGCCGTAAAAAATGCCTGGCCCATAGCAAACATCCAAGAATGGCAGTTAGTGTTCTGTATGTCTCCACAATCCTTCCTGGGCTCTTCCTGTAGGAGGTGGTGCCTCATTCTGTGTGATACATGCGGATCCCACGGAACCCACAGGGACTGCTCCTCTCTTAGATCCAACAGTAAGAAATGGGAGTGTGAGGAGTGTTCACCTGCTGCAGCCACAGGTGAGGCTGGAGGGATGGGCCAGCCTCAGAGCAAGGAGCGGGCTGTAGGGACTTGTGGTGCCTGGGGAAGGAGGAAGGCATCCCACCAGAGAGGGATTAATAGTTGGTGCCTTTGACTTCGGAAGGAAAGTGGCTAGAGAGGAGCTTAAGGACCTGTGCCTGGGAGAAGCAGAAGCTTGAGTTTTCCTCTCCTGCCTTTCTCTCACCACAGACTACATACCTGAAAACTCAGGGGACATCCCTTGCTGCAGCAGTACCTTCCACCCTGAGGAGCATTTCTGCAGAGACAACACCCTGGAAGAGAATCCGGGCCTTTCTTGGACGGATTGGCCAGAACCTTCCTTATTAGAAAAGCCAGAGTCCTCTCGTGGCAGGAGGAGCCACTCCTGGAGGTCCAAGGGTGTCAGAATCACTAACAGCTGCAAAAAATCCAAGTAACACCTTCTGAGTAGCTGCTATCCCGCACAATAGGGTATGAAGCTGTGCTCCTCCATCGGGTTTGGGGAGGGAACACTCTGGGACTGTGAGACAAGGAAGCAGGACCAGCAGTGAGTCTATGAGCCAAGCAAAGAGAAGTCTCAGGGGAGCATGAGGAGGGAGCAGCCCAGATGCCAACAAGGAAATGAGTTTATGGCTACAAGAGTGCCTCTGCTTTCTCCTCCTCTCCTCCCACCAAGATTCTTCCACCTTAATCTGGTTTTCACATGCCTCTTCTTCACCCATGTTTGTTGTTTTGCAATAAAGGTGTTCTCTCCATTGGTGTCTCCTTATAAATTCTTTCTGAAATTTGCGTGGGTAGTAAAGATTCTAGGGGGTAGAGTACAAGAATAAGAAAACTTACCCTCCTAATCCATAAAATTCAGGGAATTAATGTAGAACTTTTAGCTTAGAATATAGACATGTTTCTTTGGAGGGAAGGAAACCTGTTTATACAGAAATTGGCATTACAGGGGCAGAGAATCTTCATCAATCATTGTGCAAATAATAAGTACACAGGTTCTCTTTAGGGAGGTGAGCCAGCATAGCAGTCCACACTGGATGGAGAATAGGCCCTTGTTGCAAGGCTTGGGGCCCTGGACTCAAACAAGTCAGGGACTGCCATGCTTATACATGGGGCATAAGGGACTCCATTCTTACCAGACTGGTGTGGGCTTCAGCATACTTCCACAGCATGAGTGAGCCCCGTCAAACCCTCACTGCCTGGTGGTTTGAGCATTTCCGTCCAGAGTTTAACTATGAATTTGCATGCCAGGACATTCAAATTAGGCAAGGTGGCCGGGCGCACTGGCTCATGCCTGTAATCCCAGCACTTTGGGAGGCCAAGGCAGACAGATCACTTGAGGTCAGGAGTTCGAGACCAGCCTAGCCAACATGGTGAAACCCCATCCTTACTGAAAATACAAAAATTTGCTGGGCATGGTGGCAGGCGCCTGTAATCCCAGATACTTGGGAGGCTGAGGCAGGAGAATCACTTGAATCCGGGAGGTGGAGGTTGCAGTGAGCGGAGATTGTGCCACTGCACTCCAGCCTGGGCGACAGAGCAAGACTCCATCTCAAACAAAAACAGGCAAGACAACTAGGATGGGAATCTGGCAGAAGGCCTAGCGAGAAATTGAACAAAGCCTATCTTACATTTTTATATTTTTAATGATTTCATGGGATTTGGTTAGTGGGGAGAATTCAGAACCAGATAGTTCTCAACATCTTGCCACTGTATCATCGCCACTAACAGAGGAAGACAATGTTCTCATTCCAAACGTTGTAGACCCTAAAGACTTATATCCAAGGTGTGTATGCAATGAGTGTCTTCAGATTTGAGCAAATTCACTTGAAATCAAATGGAGGCTGGCTGTGTCTTTCTGTTATTATCAAAGTATACACGCAAAGTAACACAGACTTTTAAAAGTCTAATAGTACTAAAAGGATTATAATGAAAAACAGTTTTGATTTACCCTTCCCTACTTCCATTCCTACTCTCTAAAAGCAACTACTTCCCATTTTTTAAAGCTGTTTCTTAATTTATTAATCTTAGACATTATTGACTTTCTATTATGTTACATAAAGAGTTAGCACTTTTACAATCTTCTCATTTTTGACTGGGCACGGTGGCTCATGCCCGTTAATCCCAGCTCTTTGGGAGGCCGAGGCAGGCAGATCACTTAAGGTCAGGAGTTCAATACCAGCTTTGCCAATATGGTGAAACACCATCTCTACTAAAAAAACAAAAATTAGCTGGGCATAGTGGTGGGTGCCTATAATCCCAGCTACTCGGGAGGCTGAGGCAGGAGAATTGCTTGAGCCTGGGTGGCAGAGGTTGCAGTGAGTCGAGATCGCGCCACTACACTCCAGCCTGGGCAACAGAGCAAGATTGTCTCAAAAAAAAATTAAATTAAAAAAACATAATCTTCCCATCTCCATTCGCCTCAGATAATTGTATCGCAATTTTCGTTAACTTTCAGTGTTTATATTATTATGATGCTAGAAATACTGTTCAGACTGAGCCAAGCAGTACACTATACTTTTCCTCTTTTGAAGAATGTTTTTTTCTGAAAGTAATAACTGCTGCTTTTTTGGTATATCCCTATTGCTCATTCTTCTCAAATGTTGCAAATGATCAACAAAATGTCTCAAAATGCAGTTTTCCTCATAGGCCAGGCATCAGATCACTATCAGCTGCACTTCTTTTCCTGAAGACCTGCCTCCCAGAGCCACCTGCTCCTGGGCTGGCTGCTCCTAGAGTTCCTGCACAGCTGTCCTCCTAGGGCTCCCCACAATTATGCCCTTTTTCTTCATTTCCTTTCTCTTAGGTTTGACCACTCAATCCTATCCTTGCTTATCTGGCTATCCAGGGAAATTTTGTCAGAGCTCTACAAGTAACAGGAACATTTTTTAATTGTGAGCTTTCATATAAAACACAATATTTAACCCATTCTAAAGATTCAACTCTTGCAGTGACAATTCATAACTAAAAGATGCTCCCTAGATTAAGACTTTAGTTCTAAACCTAGAGTTTCTGTAACTTGGGTCACTAGGCAAATTCTTAGGGATCTGTGGTAGTATTAATATATTTTCTTAAGGAGTCTATTTGTATACTCAAGTGTGAGAAACACTATCTAAACTGAGAGTAATGGCCCCTAACAGTGCCCTCTCGACTTCAGATTCAGTGGGCAGAAGGGGAGCTTGGAAAGGGGTAGTTTTTGTCACCCAGATGTCAGCTGCCTCTACCTCTGTGTACAGTTGGCGTTGTGGGTACTTGCTTAGCTAACAGGACAGTGCATGCATACACACACACACACACCTATTAACTATTTCTTACTCTTTGTATTTTTAGTCTCCACTGATGTTAATAGCCTATTTTTATAGGCTGGAAAGTCCAACTTTGAAATGTTCTATTCTTCATCTGGGCCTAATCAGTCATTCTCCACTAAATAACTGGTTTACTTCTTTTTTCCCTTTTTTTCTTTTTTTTTTTTTTTTTTGAGACAGTCTGTTGACCTCGTGATCCGCCCACCTCGGCTGCCCAAAGTGCTGAGATTACAAGTGTGAGCCACCGCGCCCGCCACCGTGCCCGGCCTCTTTTTGCTTTTTTTTCTTTTTCTTTCTTTCTTTTTTTCTTTGTTTGAGAGGAGTCTCACTCTGTTGCCCAGGCTGGTGTGCAGTAGCATAATCTCGGCTCACTGCAATCTCCGCCTCTCGGGTTCAAGCGATTCTCCTTCCTCAGCCTCCTGAGTAGCTGGGATTACAGGCACATGCCACTATGCCAGGCTAATTTTGTATTTTTAGCAGAGACAGGGTTTCACCAGTTGGTCAGGCTGGTCTCGAACTCCTGACCTTGTGATCTGCTTGCCTCAGCATCCCAAAATGCTGGGATACAGGCATGAGCCACCATGCCCAGCTTTTTTTTTTTTTTTTTTTTTTTTTTTGAGACAGGGTCTCACTCTCTGCAGTGGCATGATCATGGCTCACTGCCCCTACCTCCCTGGGCTCAGGTAATCCTCCCACCTCAGCCTTCCAAGTAGCTGAGAGCTACAGGCACGCACCACCATGCCTGGCTAATTTTTTTTTTTTTTTTAGAGATGAGTTTCACCATGTTGCCAAGGCTGGTCCTGAACTCCGGCTCAAGGGATCTGCCCACCTTGGCCTCGTAAAGTGCTGAGATTACAGGCGTAAGCCACCACACCCAGCCAGCTTCTTTCTTAAATAGGCTTTTAGTTTAGAATAGTTTTAGACTTACAGAAAAATTGTAAAGATAATATAGAGTCCCATATATCCCAAACCTACTTTCTCCTACTATTAACACATTAGTACAGCAAATTTGTCACAATTAAAGAATTAATATTGATACATCATTATTGACTAAAGCCCAAATTTTATTCAGATTTTCTTGTCTTTTCTGTTCCAGGATACCACATTGCATGGTGTCATATCTCCTTAGGTTCCTCTTGGTTGTGACAGAGTGGCAGACTTTCCTTGATTCTGAAGACCTTGACAGTTCTGAGGAGTACTGGTCAAGTATTTTGCAGAGTGTCTCTCAACTGGGATTGTTCTGATGTTTTTCTCATGATTAGACTGGGGTTATGGGTTTTGGGGAGGAAGATACGGATGAAGTGTCATTTTCATTACATCATATCAAAGTTACATAGTATCAACATGACCTGTCACTACTGAGGTTGACTTTGATCATTTGACTGAGGAAGGTTTTGTCAGATTTCTCCACTGTAAAGTTACCCTTTTCCCCCCTTTTCTTTTCTTTCTTTCTTATTTTTTATTTTTTATTTTTTTGAGATGGAGTTGTACTCTGTTGCCCAGGCTGGAATGCAGTGGTACAATCTTGGTTCACTGCAACCTCTGCCTCCCGGGTTCAAGCAATTCTCCTGCCTCAGTCTCTAAGTAGCTGGGATTACAGATGTGCACCACCACACCAGCTAATTATTTTTTAGTAGAGATGGGGTTTCACTATGTTGGCCAGGCTGGTCTCGAACTCCTGACCTTGAGATCCACCCACCTCAGCCTACCAAAGTTCTGGGATTACCGGTGTGAGCCACTGTGCCCTGGCTTTTCCTCTTTTCATACTACACCTTCCAAAGGGAAGTCACTATGTGGAGCCTACAGTTAAGTAGGGATTTGTATGCAACTCCTTGAGGATGGAGTATCTACATAAATTATTTGGAATGGTTCTGCATGGGAGATTTACCTATTCTCTCCTGTTCATTTATTTAGTCAATCTTTTTGTTTGTTTGTTTGTTTTTTTGTGAAACGGAGTTTTGCTCTTGTTGCCCAGGGTGGAGAGCAGTGGCGCAATCTTAGCTCACTGCAACCTCCGCCTGCCGGGTTCAAGTGATTCTCCTGCCTCAGCCTCCCAAGTAGCTGGGATTACAGGCATGCATCAGCCACCATGCCCGGTTAATTTTGTATTTTTAGTAGAGACAGGGTTTCACCATGTTGGTCAGGCTGGTCTCGAACTCCTGACCTCAGGTGATCCACCCGCCTCGGCCTCCCAAAATGCTGGGATTACAGGCGTGAGCCACCGTGCACAGCCTGTTCAATCATTTAGTATGGACTCCTAGACATGTACTTGATACTTTGGGTTACAATATAATAATACTTTATTTTGTTGCTCAAATTGCATTCGCCATTGGGTGTTCATGTGACCTTTTCACACATCCCCATCACTGTGTGTTTGGTTTGGTTTTGTTTTTGAGCACTTTTTTACTTTCTGGCACTACAAGATGCCCCAAGCTCATCTTCTTTTAAAT